AATTTATTTTTTTATTGATACATTTCTTCTTCTTCTTCAAAATATTAGTTCTTTTAGGGTAATTAAATTATATAGTAACGCATACTCACACACAGACACAGACAATCTTACTGATGCACACAAATAGGCTCATTGACAGACAATCTCAATGACACACACAGACAAGGTTACTGGCACACACACAAATTTAGTACAGACAAACTCTATACACAAACAAGCTTACTACAGACAAGCTCACTGTCACACACACGCTCACTACAGACACGCTCACTGATGCGCACACACTCTCCCTACAGACAAGCCCATTGACACACACATGCTCCCTACAGAAGAGCTCATTAACACACAGATTCACTACAGACATGCTCACTACAGACAAGCTCACTGACACACATATGGTCACTACAGACAAGCTCACGGTCACACTCATGCTTACTACAGACAAGCTCACTGTACACACATGCTCACCACAGACAGGCTCCGACACACCCATGCTCCTTACAGACAAGCTCACTCACACACACACACACACACACACATATTATCCCTACAGACAAGCTCACTGACACACATACAAGCTCACTCACTAGCAGGCACACACACACAAACTCACTAGCAGGTGCACACACACACAGAGGCTCCCTCACTAGCAGATGCGCGCACACACACACACACACAGAGGCAGACAGTCACTGACAACGAGGAAAACATCCACACACACACAGACAGGCAGACAACCACAAACACAGGCAGACAGCCACACGCTCACACACACAGGCAGACAGCCACACAGGCAGTCACACACACACACAGGCAGTCACACACACACACAGGCAGACAGACACACAGTCACACGTACACAGTCACACACAGGCAGTCACACACACACAGACACACACACACACAGACACAGTCACACACACACACACTGGCCTCCCCTCCCCCTATCTAATACACTGCTGTAACCCCCTCCACCTAATATACTGCTGTAACCCCCTCCCCTAATATACTGCTGACCCCCCTCCCCTCCCCCAATACATTACTGACCCCCCTCCC